ATGTTTTTATTTATTTTTGGGACAGAGAGAGACAGAGCATGAACGGGGGAGGGGCAGAGAGAGAGGGAGACACAGAATCGGAAACAGGCTCCAGGCTCCGAGCCATCAGCCCAGAGCCTGACGCGGGGCTCGAACTCACGGACCGCGAGATCGTGACCTGGCTGAAGTCGGACGCTCAACCGACTGCGCCACCCAGGCGCCCCTATGTTTATTATTTTTGAGAGAGAGACAGATAGCAAGTGGTGGAGGGGCAGAGAGAGGGAGAGACAGAGGGAGATATAGAATCTGAAGCAGGCTCCAGGCTCTGAGCTGCCAGCACAGAGCCCAACGTGGGGCTCAACCTCGTGAACCACAAGATCATGATCTGAGCTGAAGTTGGGCGCTTGACCAACTGAGCCACCCAGGCACCCCAAGACTGTTGCTCTTAGAGAAGTGGGGAATGTAGACCAAAAGATGTACACACAGGGAAGATGGCCACGTACAAACCAAGTAGAGAGGCCTCAGATCCATGCTTCACAACCCTCAGAAGGAACCCACGCTACCCACACCCAGATTCGTTTTCTGACCTCTAGACCTATGATACAAAATATTTCTGTTGTTCAAGCCACTCAGTCTATGGTACTTCATTATGGCAGCCCTCGCAAATTGATACAGTGAGAGTCTTCATAACGACAACTTCACATGCCTCATTATATTTTCTAATTTTAAAAAATGTGAATATATTAATGGGATAAGATTATGTTCCAAAAAGTAAAATAAAAGTAAATGATTATTTAACTTACTGCCAAAAGTTCCCTGTATTTTGGAGGAATGGTGACTTCTCTTTTACCTAATTCCTCTATGTAGATGGAAGTCATTGGATCCTGGAATAAAGATCACACAGAGGGATATTATATAATTAATTAGCTGACAATGTTATATGCTATTACGCAACCAAAGTACTGTTGCCATTAGTAATTTATGGAGCTACTGAAATGAAATGCACTTAAAAAGCCAATACTTTATACAACTCTGAAATTGTAAGTTTATACAATACTTGCCCTTATTTAATTAGCTTAATTCATATGTAATACTAGAAAATATTCAACCTGCTATATTTTTTATTCTTATACTAAAGCACATTTTAAAACATTTTTCACGGTCTCTTTCCAATACATATAAAAGTACAGTTAATAATAAATTTCTCTATAAGCTAACACCCAAGTCTTCCAGACCTAATTTCTAAGAAAAAAAGATCAGCTAGAGTCACATCTCCTGTTTAACCCTCTACTATCCCATTCCTTTTCCTTGTTAGCCAGCAAGAGCCACCATCCTGAACTTTATTGTATCTACCCACTTAAAATCGAGCAAATTTTAAAACAATTATTCCATATGTAGGTATCCACAAACAACATGCAGCATTACTTTGTATATTTTTTCTTTTTTTTTTATTGAAAAGGTACAGAACGCGTTACGAATTGGTGTGTCATCCCTGCAGGGGCCACACTGATCTTCTCTGTATCCTTCCAATGTTAGCATATGTGCTGCCAAACTGAGCACTACTTTTACATATTTTCAAATGTTGTATCAATGGTATCATATTCTAGGTATCAAACTGTATTATTCTTATTCAAAATTATGTTTTTATAATGTATCCCTGTTGGTACATGAATAATTCATTTTAACCACAATAAAGTGTTCCCTTATATTAGCTTGTCTGCTGTTGACCAAAATCATGTCCAAATGTTTCACCTGTGCTTATAACTCCTGGTGCACATGGGTAAGGCTTCCTCCAGGGAATCTCTCTACAGGTGGAATTGATAGTTGAAGGACAAGTACATCTTCAACATCCACAAGCTCCATGTCAATTGTCAGACTTTTACACTTTTGCCACTCTGAGGAGTGTGTTCTCTCCATATTTTAGTATCATTTCTATAAATACTAGAAAGACTTTCATTTTTATTTATTTATTAGCCAAACAAGTTTTCTCCTATTTTTCTATTGGGCTGTCTTAAAAATTCTTCATAAATCCTAGAAACAGATCCTTTGTCATGTCTGCTTCAAGTATTTTCTTCCAGTCTTTTGCATGTCTTTCTATTTATTTTTTTAATATCAAGGAACATATAATTTTCTTGCTTTTTCTGGGTAAGGAATAGGGATGAGCTGAGGGTGGTAAATTTCTAGAAATCATAATAAGTTCAAGCCTAGTGGACTTAAATCTCAAGGACAGAATAATGTTTGTGACCCAACAGGCTGTATTCCAGCACCAGTCACAACACAGACAATCAATAAATGTTTGCTGAATCACTGTAATAGGATAGCTACCATAGGACAAACCATTTCCATTTATAACACTAATGTTTAGTTGCCATTATTGATGGCGACACCATTCTGCTTCTCTCCAAGCAACAGAACACTAGGTATTCTTTTGTGCCTCATGACCATGACCTTATTTCCTTTCCTACCCATTAAGTATAAATCTTTACAGATACCAAGATCACATACTGAAACTTCAGGTCCAGTATATGTTGTGTTATCTTCTTCAGTTTCTTCAGGTCCTCCTAAAGTGTCTACTAAGTCATCCAAAGCGGCATCCAGGTCTGACTAGAAAAGAAAGAGAGCAGGTATTTAAATGCTATTTGTAATACATATTTCACTTCTGATTTTTTAACTACAAAAAAACCAAAAATTCTGTGCAGAAAAACACGAAACATCAAAAGTTCTTCAAACATTAAAATAGTTAAAATCTAGTCTCTAATAAACTTTATTATGTAAGGCCCCAGAGTACACATTTCAGGTTACAAAAACAGAAAGCCATGTTCAGATAAGAATCACAACAACTTCAGTAAGTCTAATGGCAGTAACTACAGAACAAACGAATGGCTCATTAAAGTTCCCATTCCAATGTCCTCAGTTGAAAAAACAAAAACAAAGAATAATGATCATATAATTGTATGCAACAGGAGAAATTCTTTGTATTCATTCCTTACCAATAGTTTCCCAGAGTTACATATTTACAAAGAACTCCAACAAAATGTCTATATAGTACCTCTCCCAAATAGAATCTATTTCAAAGATGGATTGCCTGTGTTCCTTCATTCATTTGTGGTTTTTTGTTTACTTACTTGCCTAAAGAAGTCTACAAAACAAATTACTTGAAAGGGATGTTAAGCTTATAAGACGTGACAATCTATTCTGTCAATATGGACTTTAATTAGTATAATGAAGGAGGGCCTCCATCCTATCTCTTAGGTTTAAAAAGACTCATGGTGAAGAATATGCTGAATTTAAAAGGGAAAACAAGAATTTGGGAAAAGACCCTTTATTTACTTAACTCAAGTTAAAAACGATTATTTAACTTTTTTTTTTTTTTTTCAACAACTGTATTCCCACTACAATTTTAGGAACTCACCTGATCATGTAATACAACTTGGGACCTGTTAGCTTTAGACCAAATCATTTGGGAATTTCAGAATGAAGAAGTGTCTTAAATTCTTTAGTCATACCTCTGGTTAAAGAAGGTATATTTGCAAGAGAGAAACTGTAATGTAAACTCCACCAGATATAACTAGAGTTTTCAGAACAGAAGGTTTGAATATAAAATGTTACAGAGGTGCCTGGATGGCTCAGCTGGTTAAGCGTCTGACTCTTGGTTTTGGGTCTGGTCATGGTCTTGTGGTTTCGTGAGTTCCAGCCCTGTGTCGGGCTCTGAGCTGACAGTACAGTCTGCTTGGGATTCTCTCTCTCTCAGTCTATCATACCCCTCCCCTGCTCATGCTGTCTCTATCTCCCAAAACAAATACATAAACTTAAAAAAAATATTTTGAATGTTACAACATACCTGAAAAAATTTCACAATTTTAGCTTATAGCAATAATTCATGAGAAGGGTCTTTAAGTTATCCTACCTCATATAGTTTGCCCTTAAAAAATCAGATCCGAATAAATTTAGAGGCTATGAATAAATAAATATCTCATGTAGAAATGCACTGCTATCTTCATACCTTTCCAGATGGTTTACCCGGTTTGGATTCAACTGGTACAGCAGACGTTAATGATTTCTTTTCTTTTTTCTGGTGGATTTTAGAAAGAAATAAAAACTTTTTCACATATTTTTCTTCAATAATCTAAAAAATTCAAATTACTAAGTAATTCAACAAGTTCAATGATATTACATATTTAAAAATGAGTCTAATATTAACAGCATAGATCATATATTGAACATCTGCCTCTGTGCCAGACAACATGTTGTATATGTCATATCCTTTTCCAGAACAGCATAATTTATTTCATTTAGTGATGTGGAGAGCAAGACTCAGAGATGTGATGTAATTTTTCCTAGGTAACACAGTAAAGGAAAAACCAAGAATTGAATCCAGAACTACCATCTCTTTCTTCTTTGCTCTTGGTTGCCTCTCCAAGGGCCCACAGTCAGCCCACAGCACCCAAGAATTTTTTCTCTAAGTGGCCACTTCTCACTGTTGCTCTTTCAACCTTTGCCTGCACACATTAAGACCTCTCACTCCCTGACTTAGCATTTCACCATCCACTCCTTTCTTAATCTCCCTAAAATGTTTCAGTTGCTCTTTCAAACACTGCCGATAACTCTCCAATCTGCAATCTCCATGCTTGACCCACACATAATCGTTTCTGAAGTGTGATCTCAGTAAGCACCCCTAACCCAACACATCTCTCACAGCAGCCATGACTGAGCACCACCCTAGGGCTCCTCTGGCATTTGTGCCATCATTCTCTGTCACTCCTGCTGCATTGCCCCCAGCCCTACACATTCCACGTTTCTGCCTTGCACTGGTGGCCTGAAGCAAAACCATTCTCTAGAGCCAGGGCCAAACACTTGCAGGGACTGAAAGGAAGTAGACAGGTGAAGATGCCAGGTTTAAGACAACAGAAAAGCATCCCATGTGGAGGTCTCTGAAATGTGGGTGGCAGAGCATGGGGGGTGGAGAGCACACCAGCTCCTATGCACTGCCCACATGAGTCTTCAGGCAGGCTACCTCTTCTGTAGCTCAGTAACGTCATGTGTGACACGGGGACAGTAACTGCACCTCCCTCAGGGGGTTATGAGAATTAGATAAATTCATCTATCAAAGTGTGTTTGGTCTATCAAAGTGCATTTGGTACATACTAAACACTATGTAGGTACTCGTTGGATGATTAAGTGCTAAATAAGTGACCACCGCTATTGTTAAAAACACCGCGGGGGTCACCAGGGTGAGAGCGTGTATCTGGGCAACCAAATCCACTCTGAGGATTCAAGCACAACCTTATGCAGGTATGCATTCATATTTGTTATCCCCTCCTTCCTTCCCCCTCCTCTCTGCCCCCTCTCTTCATTCCCCTGTCCTTCAGAACAACATTCCAATTGCCTTGCTACACATCTCTCTCCAACATTTCAATTCAGCCTATCGAAAATCAGGCCACTTTTGACCTCAACCAGTTCTCCTTCTGACCTGTCCACCCATCAGTCGTAACCAGGGACTAGGTCACAATTTAGGGAGGCACTCTCTCTCATCAGAGCTGGCCCTGCACTTGCAGGAATCAGACAGTGCCCCCCTGGACTCACTTTAGGGTTACCAACCTAGCTCGTTCAGATCTGAAGCCCAAGGTTATCTCAGAGTTTATGATACTTTTGTCCACTGCAGCCAATTCTTTTCTAAAACCTGAAGATTTCACTTCTGCAGTGCCTCTGGCATTTCTCCCCACTATCTCATTCTACCCCAGCTCTAATTTAGGCTCACTTAGGACTGTGGTCACTCAATCCCACAACTCGGTGCACTGCCACCACTCTGTGTGTTCTCTAACCTCCAGTGTGTATCCTCTACTGGTTAAATAGCTACCACTCATCTCAGCACTATCCACAGCAGTGCCTGGACCTGTCTTTCTGGTCTTACAGTCCCACTGCTCATGCCCCGTGTGCCCCACCCTCAATGGAATTCACTTTGTACCCAGAACACATCTCACACTTTTCCACTCTGATGCATCTGCAAGCCTGCAATCCTAGGTACCTACCCTTCATGCCAAACTCAAACTGGATCTACTCAAAGTGTGTGTAATCCTGCAAACAGACAGAAGCCCTCCAATCCCCACCAAAGAGCTTCTAGTGGGAGTTTGTCTTAATCTGCCTTGGAATGCGGTCCCAGGGATTCTGTCTTCTTCCCGCCCCTGGATGCGCTAGCCTGCTGCTAGGGTGTCCTGCAGTCACACGACAGTGCTTTAAACATGCTAAGTACCCCAGCCCCAATTGAAGATCTGATCAATCTCACTTCAGAGGAGATGGATCAGAGACCAACAAAGTGAAATGCTTTGCCACAAGTTCAAGCACACCAGACTTCCACATATGCCTCTCATGTTACTGGTTAGCTTTCACTTTTTCCCTGGCTACTTTATATCTAGCATAAAATTTCAAATTGATGACATTTTTAAATCTTTTTGAACAAATCTAATCTTCTGTCTTAAATCTAACCATTTTTCAAACATTTTCATCTAAGTACCCCTCATCAACAACAGAGAGTAACATTTATCCTTAGAGTGGGGAGGGGGTGGGAGTCTCAAGAAAATATACAAGAAAACACATTTTTTTTTAATATGAGTATTTTCATTTAAAGGTTTATGTAAATTTTGCGATCACTCCATAGAATATCTGCATTAGTTTGCATACAAACTAATGTGTCTCTTCCTTTTCAAAATCTGAGAAAAACTGGTGTTTCAAGATGTGCCATACTTTTATCCTATGACCTTCCTTACCATCTAGCCTGAAGGGGGATACTTTTCCTATTTTGAAAATCAGGAAAACAGATAAATCAATACTACTTTTTAAAAAATTCATTTCTATCTTCTTACTTTTGCTGCAATTAGTTAATTGGGGCTTCCAGAGAAGTAAGTAGCATTTCGAGGGAGACATGGCCTGTAAACTGATTAGTAACTCTGCCTTGCTATGGGTAGAAACAGTAGACTACTTCTCATCTTACATTTCCAGGCTAGTATTTGAAATAGCTCTTCAAATTATCTAAAGAAGACTTGCCTATCATTAGTCAGAGGGGCATATATACTCTCTCCTGAGAGGGCTGGGATGTCTCCTTTGAAAACTTCCCCTATCAACTCATGTATATGTTATGACTGCTTGTTATTTACTCATATCAAGATAGATGCTCTCCAGGTTGAAAGCTGAGAGAAATGCTTATTCACATATGGCAATTTTATTTGCTTAATTTCAAAGCTATAAATATTGTTGAAAGCAGGGTCTGAGTCAACTCACATTTTAATTTTCTTGGTACTCATACCAGGCCTGACACATGGCAGGTGCTCAGTAAATATTTACTGAATACATGAATTCTCAAATCAGTTTTGTTATCTTGCTCACTCTGTATCTTTTAGATGCATCCTCTTCTTCACTAAATTTCACATAAAGAACAGTGCTCGGTTTTACCAAATACAGGTTATTTGAGCATGGTAGCACCAGATCCCTAAATGCTTACTGAGAACCAAACGAAAACCCAGGTTGTAATGGGTCTTCACCAAGCACGCATTTTTCATAAGAGAGACCCGACAGACAGTGAGGCCCACATACACTTCATGTCTGCTTAGGTGTGCTTACCTTGTTATCTGGTTTGGCAGATGCTGCAGCTGTATCAGCAACACCTTCTCTGCCAGCAGAAACTGCATCCTGTGATTTAGTCTAAAGGGGATAAAAAGATTAACAGAACTAAGTATCTTTGAATGACTGTTTTCAAGATCAAGCATTTCAAGTATCACTACTGAGCCAGTTATAACTATCATGGACACAGTGCTGAGGAAAAGGTTACTAGCTTCTACTACACATAGTACAACAGTGGGGACCACATAAGGCTGGACTCAAGAGCTACAGAGTGCACGCAGGTGCACAAATTTTGAAGGGGGCCAGGTAGGGACTGTGATAAATTGTTATAAAGTTGTAGCCAATTGTTGCCACATAATCTGATGTTTCAAGAGAAGCTAGAAATTTGAATTTTATGTGAAACATTATGACTTGAATTGTTGGCAACGCATTAAAAAAATTTTAGTAATACTGGAAGCCAAACAAAATAGAATTGAACAAAACACATAATGGCTGCCTTTAAGTGATGAGCCACATTTGTATAACTACCTTCTATCAAGTCCCTTGTCAAGCAGGTCTGCTAGATGTCTTCTAAGAGCTCTCAATGGAAAAGTTCTTCTCATAAGTGTTTATTCTTCAAAGAGTTGACCTCCATTAGCTGTGCATGGAATCTATTTCTGATTTTTTGGCTCTATAAATTCATCTCTTCTACAACGAAATTCTAAACACCTCTTTCAGAGTTCCATGTAAAGAGCAGATCATGCAGAGCATCTGTGCTCCTAACTCTGAGAAGAGGGGCCCAGGTAGCAACCAGTACCCCAAGCTTCCCGTCCATGAGACACCAGAGTCTGCTGCCTTGTAGTCATGACTGGGCACTGCTGGGCAGTGGAAGAAGGCTGGACTGAACTTCCCCTCAACCAATCTGATGTATTGAGCTTTCCAGAGGCCCAAGTTTCCACAAGGTTATTTGCAAAACCAGTAAAATGATAGCACCAAATCCTTACAATACAAGGTATGTTCAGCACAGCTCCACAGATTCAACTATACATGTCCATATAGATAGAGGACGTGCATCTTATTCTCTAGTTGATGGTAGTGTTTTCCTATCAATCTGAGAGGTATACCTTTGGTTTTGTTGATTTCTCAGATGTCAACTGCTCACTTGATCTGGAAACTGCTTTTTCATTATGAACATGCTTGCTTTCTGTATCTGATGCATGCTTGGGTAGGCTTTTTGGCTGAAACACACACACCACACTGTTAACAACACAACAAATATTGATGCTTTCCTCTATGAAGTGCCAGCGTTCATAGGACATTAATAAATTGCAAATCCTGCTACTGCCACATGGTGGTGCCATTTTAGCCAGAAAAACAAATAAATGAGAGTTCAGAATTTTATCCCTCACACACAAAAAAGGCTTCACCTACCCATTGATAACAAGTCTTTTTTTTTTTTTAATTTTTTTTTAACGTTTATTTATTTTTGAGACAGAGAGAGACTGAACATGAATGGGGGAGGGTCAGAGAGAGGGAGACACAGAATCTGAAACAGGCTCCAGGCTCTGAGCTGTCAGCACAGAGTCCGACGCGGGGCTTGAACTCACGGACCGAGAGATCATGACCTGAGCCGAAGTCGGCCGCTTAACCGACTAAGCCACCCAGGCACCCCTGATAACAAGTCTTAATGATGGTCACTTACCTCTTTGTGTTCCTTTGGCTTTATTTCTTGGGTTTTTTTCTCAGGAAGCACAGATGGCTGTTAATTTCAAAAGATAATATCTCAGTTACATTGGAGTCCTTTCTTTTATTACTTCCAAGCAGGCTTAAGAACAGCACTCCAAATTAGACCCTTCTGCCTCACTTGGGAAAGGCTCACTTAGAGGAATACACATGTGCTGCTTGTCAATAGTTATTCTACCAACAGCATGATAATGACAATCATAAGAGTAATAAAAAATTAGCATTTCACTTAGAATGATTTTTCAAATAGGTATGTATCTCTAACTTATTGGCTGTTTTTCACAATTCATACAGATCATTTAGTAAACGCAAGTCCATTCACAGAGATGTCACATGATCACTGTGACCTCTGAGTTTGTTGATTGGGAATCCTACTCTAGATTCTTTCTTTTAAAAATCTCCCTTTGGGGGCGCCTGGGTGGCTCAGTCGGTTAAGCATCTGACTTCGGCTCAGGTCATGATCTCGCGGTCCATGAATTCGAGCCCCACATCAGGCTCTGTGCTGACAGCTCAGAGCCTGGAGCCTGCTACAGATACTGTGTCTCCCTCTCTCTCTGACCCTCCCCCGTTCATGCTCTGTCTTTCTCTGTCTCAAAAATAAATAAACATTAAAAAAATTTAAAAAAAAATAATAAAATAAAAAAAAAATCTCCCTTTGTAGGGAATGAACATGGTATTTCTGCAATTTAATGATTTACATAGTCTTTTCTGTGTTACAAGTCGAGAAGGAGATATCACCAGAAACCCAATTCTCTTGAGATTGTGTAAACAACCAAATGGAACAGCAGATGATTTCCACCTTGCAGCTCAATTCTTCCTCTATAGTGAACTATAAGATTATCATTCTGAGCGGTAAACCCAAAGGAGCTACATACAATCAGATAAGTTCACCTTCCACCCAGATGACCTCCCCTTGCCTGCATTTAAAGGACATCTCTGTGCTTTCCCACAGGAAGCCTTGCAGTCTTATCTGAGTATTTGCTTAAGCATGCTTGAAAGAAGTAATGTGCACCATCATATGTAGGATAAACATTTGCCTGCAGACACCCTGGGGTCCATCTCCACATGGATACAGATTGGCTTTCAGTCTAGACAGCCATGAGTCAGGGAAGCCACTCCCAAGGGAAAGTCAGAGTTGTCTCCTGAGAAACTGGAACTCATTCCACAAACTGAGATAAAACTGTTAAGATAAACCTAGGATCCTCTTAGCAAAGACTCTCATCTGTAAGTCATCTAGGTGCTGGGTTCAAAAGATATTTACTCTTGATGTCCCATTTTTAAAGTAACTGGATACTCATTACCCTTTGTCCTTTCTCCTTGGTTCCTACTGCTTTTTTTTTTTTTTTCAAAGTTTATTTATTTTTGGGACAGAGAGAGACAGAGCATGAACGGGGGAGGGGCAGAGAGAGAGGGAGACACAGAATCGGAAACAGGCTCCAGGCTCTGAGCCATCAGCCCAGAGCCTGACGCGGGGCTCGAACTCACGGACCGCGAGATCGTGACCTGGTTGAAGTCGGACGCTTAAACGACTGCACCACCCAGGCGCCCCATCTACTGCTTTTTTTAACAATGACTTCAACTATAACAAAAATCTAGACCTGAACAAAATGCCTTCTGAAATATATTGTTTTCATTTACAAAATAAATTCATTTTAATGTATGGACTTAATGTTATAATTATTTACTTATGCTCTATAAAATGTTTAAAAGGGTAATCCAAAATTAATTAAATTAGCTGACAAAAAAATCCTTTTACCATTCAGTAGCACCAATGGAGTAAATTGTTCATTCATTATTACTGCTAAGAATCCAAACAACTCACTAGTTGACTTAAATTACTTACCTTAGTTGATTGTGACTTGTTTTCAGGTTCTGTTTTTGCAGCCTAAACTCAGAAAAATAAAGAAAAGAGGGAAGGAATTACAGAAGAAAGGAAAAAAAAGACATAGTTTATAAAGTTTAACATAGATTTTCTTCAACTAAGAAAGCTTTCCAAAGGAGATGATTTTGATCTAAATATAAGCTTTCTGAGTTAAGTTTATTATACTTTTCTTGGAATTTTAACTGTTTAAATAAACACGTTAAGTACACTAACACCCTGCTCTTACTTTTAGATAGCAATTTACATCTTACTTTTGTTATGTGTACCAAAGATATGTAAAAATTTTTTGCTACAAACATTGTAGCTAATATATAAGCAAAACAAAAAAAAAATCTTCATCCTTCAAAGCCAATGATATGACTGATCTTTGTGTGAAATACCACAGGTTTTGGCTGTCAGTGTGAAACAATGGGATGGTGACAGAGCCAAGGAGAACAGAAAGCAGTGACATTTAGTTTTAGTGCCAGAATATGAGCGATGCGTCACCAAGCCTACCACAAAGTCCGTGATGAGTGAGTTACTGAAGATCTAGAACTGTAATTATTAGTGCATGCTGAGCAGGTGAGGCGACCATTAGCAAACAGAAATGTCCCCTAGTACAATGAACCACATCACCTGTTTTTTGGGTCTTTTCTTGCTGGGGGAATGCTGTCCTTCCATCTGTTTGCTGATTGGAATAGCCTAATACAAGAGCACAGCCCCAAGTGTGATTTTATTTAATCTGAGAGTCAAATAAGTATCATGTATCATTGGGCTAAATGTTTATATCGAGACTCGTTCTACTCCTCTACTGCATCTACTCCATGCATATGTATGTAACTCCAAGAAGTGGTAGGCACTAAAATTCTAAAGCCTCAAGCAAATACTGCAATTTGGATTTACTTTTTTTTCTGTGATAAAAATCTATAAAATCGCCATTAGAAAAACTAACTTCTGACCCCTTTCCTTCAATTTCTCTGTGTACAGGCTGATTGGGCCATTTTCTTCCACCTATATTTCTAATGCTTGGTTATGACCAAATCAATAGTCATAAGTACTGTCAAATTTTTTCTGAAATTTTATAACAATCCTGTAAACAGTACATAGATTTTTTATGCACAATATAATCTAAAGTTCTAAGAATGCTTCAGAAGGTCTCATTGTGACTTAAGCCCTTTACTGGAGTGTTTTACTCAGTTTTACCCAACCAAAGGTCATTTGTGTCGAAAAATACAATCCCTTAAGCACATACATGCATTCTTGGTACAGGCAAGATGTGAAAACTGGAATAAAACTGGATTAAACATTTTTGAACTTTTCAAAATAAAAGATGAAAAATTAGGCCTAATATTTCCTGTCATTTCTTTCCTTTTTATCTATTTGGTGGTGTTAACATAAACTCCTATTTTTTATTCTATCTGAAAAAGCCAACACCAAATACCCTCTTGATGTATCATGGCTTGTCCTTCAGCCATGAAAATACAAACATTCCTCATATAACGAATGGACCCTCATTATACCAACATACATATTGTTTGAGAAGGAAACCAAGTTCATAACCACATAAATCTTTTTAAAGGAATTTTAATTTGGGATCCTTTCAATTAGGATCTTTGTTAATTAGTTTCTGTATCTGCTACTATGCTTTTTGAATTTATGCAAATGAAATTTATTAATGATTATTAAGGAAAACAAGCAGCTGGTATTGTAGTGGTTTAGATCTATGAACAGCTTCTACTTTGTAATTTGTCAATCAAGATGTTGCAAGGAAGAACTCTACAAAACAATTAAGAATTTATGCTCACACATGTAAGTAGTTTATAATGGAATATTTTTATTAGTAGTTGCTAATACATTTCCCAAATTTATTTTTGGTGAAGGTGGTGGTGCTTAACATAATAGTGATAACAATAATAACTAATGCTTATTGATTACCTCTTAGTATCAAGGACTGCTCCAAACTTTACATATGCCAATTCAGTCCTCATAATAATTCTATGAGGGAGGTATCATCATCATCCTATCATCATCATCTCCACTTCAGGGATGAGAAATTTAGGTACAAAGAAGTTAAATAACTTCCCAAGGATACCCATGGTAGAGCTGGGGTTTTGTGTTCTCAATCACCACACTGTACAACATTGTCTCTCCAGTGTTAGACAGCTCCTACTGGGCATCTGCTGTAGGACAGGCACTAATACCCTTAATGTTTATTTTCTTACATAGGCTTGTGAAACATGTACTATTATCCAAACTGTACAGATAAGGAAACAAAAGAAAGATGTGTTTCTGAATACCATGGCTGATATGAAATGAGATTCCACACCAGGCCATCTGGTTCCATTGTTCATGGTACATAGTCTTTCAGGGATTTTATCCTGATTAGAAATCTGACCTTCCATCTTAACTACAGCAGTATGACCACTGATTCTAATGCACCAGGGGCAAGAGAGAAAGAACTTAGATCTAGACATATCCTTCCTCTTCAGAGGTATATGGACTTTTATTTGAAAGGTATGGAACACAGGATTCAGTATAGGTATTATCTTGAATTAACATCTTTTTTCTAAAAGCTCAAAATATTTGAAAAAATACACTCAAGTTCACATTCACAAAAATCTTCAAGAGAAGGCTAGTATAAATGTTATGACACAAACATCACAAAAACATTGTAACTGAAATCCACCAAGAAAGGGAGTTGATGCCAAAAGTGGTCCTGAGTCAGCCATTGGTGATATTTCATCACCAAGACACTTATTTTGGTCTCTCCCACTTTTTCCCTACTTTCCCCTCTCTCTCCTCCCCTCCTCTAGTTCTGTAGGACTTCCAGGAATTCTCGTGATTAATCCTTAGCAAATGGTTGAAGGGTTTGTGGACACTTGAAATAAGCAATGGTCCTCGAAACGAAAGTCAGGGGCAATGGATTAGAGTCAGGCAATGGGTCAAATGAGAACCAAAATAATAAAAAAGAAATCCTAGATTTGTGGCTCTCCTTTCTTTAACTTTTCATGGACTCTGAACTCAATGATAATTTGTTATTGGTTGATGCTTCTCCGGTAGTCTGAGGTAAGTTTTTTTAATATTCTAAGATTAAGCTTGGTCTTCGTAAATAGTGACAACTAATAGATGAATAGATCAGGTAATGTATATTTTGAAAACAATTTAAAAATTCATGTAAAATACTAAATAAAAACAATTTTAGATTAAAATTTTTTAAGTTAAAAGAAATGCTAGATGACATTTATTAGAGATTTGAATAGTATACTTCAAGATACTTACAATGTCCTTCAAAAATAGCTGAACATGAGGAGCACCTGGGAGGCTTAGTTGGTTAAGCATGAAACTTCAACTCAGGTCATGATCTCACGGTTCATGAGTTTGAGCCCCACATAAGACTCTACAATGACAGCTTGAATCCTGCAGCCTGCTTAGATTCTCCGTCTTCCTCTCTGCCCCTCCCCTGCTTGCATGCTATCTCTCAACAATATTTGAATTAAATATTTAAACATTTTAAATACTTAAAATCTAAATATTTAAAATAAATATTTACTTTTTTTTTTTTTAATTTTTTTTTTTCAACGTTTACTTATTTTTGGGACAGAGAGAGACAGAGCATGAACGGGCGAGGGGCAGAGAGAGAGGGAGACACAGAATCGGAAACAGGCTCCAGGCTCTGAGCCATCACCCCAGAGCCCGACACGGGGCTCGAACTCACGGACCGCGAGATCGTGACCTGGCTGAAGTCGGACGCTTAACCTACTGCGCCACCCAGGCGCCCCTAAAATAAATATTTAAAACAAACAAACAAACAGCTCAACAAGACACTACAGGATCTCCCAACAGCACTAAATTACAGTGCCAGTACTAAGTTTTGGTATAGGATCCTACTGGGATAGCAAAGTAACATGGAAGACAGAAAGCAAAAAACATGTCAGTGATTTTAAACAAGAGCAACTTAATAATAATGGAGCTGGGTTAGCTTTTAAGGGCACTAAAGGATACTGGCTCATAAAAATTAGTTAAGATCTTCTTGAAAATGTGCCCGCTTTAATTCTCCACCCCAATTGTCCAAGAAACACAGCTTGAGATATGGTAACTAAGGGAGAGGGTTAAGGCAGCTTTAGCCAACTCTTCAGAACTAGGCTTACTCTATGTGATAACTCCACTGTACAGCATTCTTTTTCTACTGAAATTCCCAGAAATAATTATTAGAATAAATCCCAAATAGAGCTCAAAGTTTTATCAATAAGATGTTGTCCCATAGGACTAAAATTTCACAAACTTAAGAAAGTATCTAAAGTAACCAGTATTATGTCACTTGTTTCATGTTCACTTAGTATAAATTTTCTCATTTGTACACTAAGTTTTATTTATTTATTTTTAATTTTTTCAATGTTTATTTATTTTTGAGAGAGAGACAGAGTATGAGTGGGGGAGGAAGAGAGAGAAATGGAGACACAGAATCCAAAGCAGGCTCCAGGTTCTGAGCTCTCAGCACAGAGCCCAACGTAGGGCTTGAGCTCCCTAACCATGATCATGACCTGAGCTGAAGTTGGATGCTTAACCAACTGAGCCACCCAGGCGCCCCTGTACATTGAGTTTTAAATGGCTAGAATATTATAAAATAAGAATATTATTATTTTAATAAGAAGCATTCATATTCTTCACTATATCCAGAAAAATGTACTTAGATCATTTTATCATTTAAAAACTCCATCAAGCCTAGAACAACAACAAAAAATCTCTGGATTACCTCTCTTGTCTAGATATTCTAAAACAATGTAGAAGAGCACAGATGATACTTGAGGTAAATATTAAAAGGAAAGGTGGGTTTCCAAAGATCTCTATAAATTAGGAAGAAAATGTTTACTTCCATAACTTAAGCTTGTTAGGACATATAACACGTTTGTCAGTCTACATTTGTTTTGCTTTATAAAATAATCACTTAAAGGCATTCACCCAAGTACACCCTTAAAGACTATTCATACCTTGGTGTCTGTGGGATTCATACTGGAAGACTTGCTGGTGGAAGCAGAAGAAGCTGACACCTAGAAAGTAAAGAAAGAGAAAGTCTGATTCTGGTTAACCTACAAACACTTTGTCTTTCAATTCCTCTTAACCATACTTGTTCTTAACTCTACCTTGGTTTTACCTCTTCTAGAGTACAACTCCCACAAAAGTCCAGTAGGTGGTCTTGCTCAGTGGGCAAAGCCTTTACAACCAGATCAAATGGGTGCAAATTTGGGGTGTACTACTTACTAAATAATCTTGGGCAATTTTCTGATTTTTAGTTTCCTCTTTCTCAATTTTTCTTTAGTAGATAACTATAAGTTTATTACTACCTGGTGCATAAGTGCTCAGTAAATATTTTAATTATTGTCTGCCTTATTTTTAGGAAGAACACAGACTTTAAAACTTGACAGAATTTTGTTCAAATGTGAGCTCTGCCAATTACTAGCAGTCTTAGTTTCCTAGGTATATAAAATGAGGTCAATGTTGGCTCTTTTGCAGGGTTTTAGGTATTTGAGATAACTAAATGTCTGGCATATTGTAGGTGCTTATTAAATTACTAATGCATTAGTCCCAAGATATTATAAAAGACAGAAAGAGCAGGATGTAGCACTAGAAAAGACTCAGGAAGATCAGAATTGTCCTTTCAGTGTCACATAAGCAAGAGAAGGTGGGAATGGTATTGCAAAGGTAATACTGCTGTATTATTTGTCTCATCCAGGCTCCTCCCTGCAGGGCAAGAGGTGATGATGATAATTGAAGTTTCAAGATACACCATTCCTAGGGATGCAAGGGGATGGTGGAATTAGTCCCTGCAATCTAATCACCCAAGTAGCGGGGAGTGCATATGGATACTTGCATGGTACTATTATGATAGTACTTAACTTGCATTACCCCGGTGAATATTAAATCAACCCTAGTTTATTTGGGAATTCCAACCTAGGCTCATTTAAACCTCCATAACATTTGAGTCTGTTAGGTTTTAAAGCTTAGGGATTCCATCTGGCACTTCTTAAGTAACTTACTTCTTAAGTAACAGGCTGTCAGTAAACAGCTGCTGCCCTGCCAAGAATACCCAGAGCCTGTCTCTGATGTCTGGCTCTGAGCCATTTCTGAGGCTAAGTCCCAGGGCAGGAGGAGCCCATGCTTGTTGGTTTCTTCACTCTCGCCACCCCCACACACTACCACTCAAGGTGACTGTATGAACCTACTATAACCCATGGACCGTGAACAAAATCACCTTCCCCACAGACCTCACTTACTGTAGAGTATGTTGGTGCTAATAGTAAATTACCACAATTTTCAGATAAAAGCCCAAAGTTTTAGTGTACTGATTTTTCAAACAAACTATATGAACTTTATTCCTGAGCACTATTAGGCACCAATAAGGCACTCCCTCACCCCAAAATATATCACACTTGGTCACTGTAGCAGGCGTGGAGTAGTGTCTCTCACATTCTCTTTGGGATAAAGAGCTAGAAAATGTACCAAGGTAGATTTTCCCATCAAATTAAAGGACAAATACATAAATATTCATTTTTCCTTGAGATTTTTTTAATCTGTGAGAATTAATGTATCCATTTGCCACACCCCATTCCTTCAATGATTTCCCTCAATCATATAAAATCAAAGACCAAACACTCTACATGAAAGTGCTTTTTAAGCTGCAAATCCTTAGGTAAACATTATTTCTAAACCTCTATGTTTATTAAAACGTTCCTGAAATCACACAACCTTGGAATATCCAATCTGCCTTACTCCTTTATTAAGCAATAGCTGGATGTGATCCTCAAATCCTATAAAGAAGACTTTCAACCCCCCTCCCCCCCAGAACAGTAAAATCTACATGGATAGCTATAAATATGCATGGAGCAGGTTATCACAGGAATTTAACTGAAGGCCTTGGCCACACCTGTTCTCAGCACAGATCCCTCCATGAAAGTTCTATCCCATCACAAAGGCACTAAACATTTTGAAAGTGAAATAGGACAGCTACTTCATGGGATCAGAAAATAAGGAAAATAATCCCACCCCACTGTGAATCCATTCAACTCCAGTGAAAACTGGTTTGTTTTATTTTCTTCTATTTGTGAAAACAATGAACTTTTAATATTTGTTATCTCTGGTGAGGGATTGAATACAGTTTCATTTTAATTCTGTACCATTTAAATTTCTGATCATGTATGTGAATAACTGATTGTTATTGAAGAGTTTATCCATAAAGCTCTGACTTGAAGAACTTTAAAGATAAACCTTAATATGTGGTTTTAAACAGGTGAAGAAAAAGATATCTCACAGAGGGTAAGTGCCTTGTCAAATCTACCCCAGTTCACTGGCTCCATGTGTATTTACCCAGAGTAAGTTTGTGCCAGGTACTCTGTCAGGAGAGAGGAACACGGTGGTGCAATTGCTAGACATGTTCCTGTCACTGCAGAACTTTCAGCCTCATCAGACAGGACATTAATAGAATAATCACTGCAATAATTACTTGTGATAAGTGCTATAAAGGAAAATCACAGGTTCCCATAAAAACATAGACTTGGCAACCAGAATTAGTTCAGAAGATGGTCAGGACAGGTGATGCTAAGGAAGTGACATCGTCATTAAAATATAAGGGGCATCACCCAGGCAAAGGTGGGGATTGTTGGGGGGGTGGTGGCTAGAGGGGCCCTTTGAGCTGTGTGTGCCAGGGTTGGGACCTAGGCCACCTGACTTCTAAGCCAGTGACTTTCTGCTGCAGGACTACCACAGCACAGTTCTGTTAACATCTAGGGACAGCCAATTTTAAAGCACAACCATTAGGGGCATAGTCAGTTAAGTGTTCAATTCTCAGTTTCAGCTCAGGTCATGATCTCACAGTTCGTGGGTTCCAGCCCCACACTAGGCTCAGTGCAGAGCCTGCTTGGGATTCTCTCTCTCTCTCCCCCTCCCTCTCTCTTTCAAAATAAATAAATAAGCTTAAAAAAAAGCACAATCATCAGCACTCATACATACCAAAATATCACTGTGGGATCAGTGCTGTCAGTCAGAGTAAAGTATAGCGACTACAATACTCTCCATCCCAAATGACTGACACAAATCTCTTTACATCCAGAGTATTAGTGGTCATTTATAAACTTAAAGAATAAATCAGAGTAACAAAGAACAGAGAAAAACTATCTTTTTATAATCATTCTCCATCTACCCATTCAACAATTGCTATTTGAAAAGGAATGAGCTAGGGGCTGAGTACATACAATGAGGAAGACACCATCTCAGCCTTCAGAGTCTAGAGTCCAGAAAGACAGACAGCAGGTTTTTGTTACAACTGAAGTGCTCTAACGGAGGCAGGAAAAGAATGCTATGTGGTAAAACAAATGTTTGAGTTCTACATCAGCTTCAGACCCGCCTCAGATAATCTTGCTGTATCATCAAGTTGCATTAAAACAAACCAACGCTGGTTAAGAGTAAATGCAACCTGGAAAAAAAAATTAATTCTGTACTTAATCAATATGGCAGGTGTTTTCTAGCATTATTCAACAAAATCTCTTCACATCGGTTACTTGCTACAGTAATAAATTTGGAAGTTTACTGCAGTAAACAATTACAGATAGGAAGGGTAGATGGTATGCTTTTAAGACCCTTGGATAATAGAAACTTTCCTTTTTCACATATATTTTGCAAAGGTCTCCCAGAGTCCAGATTTTCAGCTCTCTTACCCACTCTGGACAGATTAATCTTCCTACATAGCATTCTCACCTCTAAGTTTCCATCCGAAGTAAATCAGTGGTGACTCCTGTTGCCCACTACCTCACACTGAAATCCATTCTCTTGCCTTCAAAGACCTCCATGCTCCAATCCCTCCCCATCTCCCAAAGCAGAAAAGCAGCTTCAGGCAGCCAGCCTATCCCTTCCTTCCTCAGTGCACACCTCACTCAATGCTCCCTTTATGTTTTATTCACACAAATGCTACTGGCTGGCATGCTTCTCTTCCTAAAATATCCAAACCCTACAGGCCCTTCCTTTCAGGTGCATCTCACTAGCTCTCAGCCCCAGCATTATAACCTCCAGCATTACAACCACCATGAGCAGTCCTGATGGGCATCTTCCTTGTCTACTTCCAGAACTTTATATAATCAGGTAACCACATAACTGCCTCAGGAATGGTCTCCTCCACTAGATGGGGTCTCTTTGTAAGAGCTGTCTGTTGGGTGCACGCACCTGCTGACCCCACTCTTAATCATGGCAGGTTTCTGGCCATACCTTTTCCTGGATTCTGCAGGGTTTCTGGTAAGTACCAACCTCAACCATCGTGTGGCGCCTGAGTGACTGCCAAGCATTGTGAGCTCACCCAGACCCTGCTGAATGGCTGGTACTGGGCAAGTTAAGGGCTCCCTTAGGAAGGTGAGGTCCTAGAGGATTTGCTCATCTGTTCTGCTGCCATTAAATCTGGCTGATGAAAAATATTACTTCCTCAGCTCCTTAGTTCTCTATTACAAAACAGAGTCCCCTCCCTTGCTTGGGGGTGCCTGAAGACTTATAGTTCTTGGCAGGTGCTGCTAGCTGGCCTCCCCAGTTCCCCTCAGGTCATCTGGCCTCACCTTACTCTCTCCCCAGCCCGGCTGGCAGACAGCAGGCCAGCAGATGAGTCAACAGGTGCTCCTGAACTTGACCCATCTTCCTGTCCCCACCCCTCCCTGGCAAGAATCCCCCTTCCCACATCTACCTGCCTCTGCTGTGGAGTTACTAGAACACATGCCATACATATGCACACACCTCTTCTACCTGCTGACACACCTGCAGATCCAGTCTGAATCCCTGACCATCCTCTCCTTCATGGCTGCTCTGCCAGAGCAATTCCACAGTCTCTCATCCCCACTATAATGTTTCCTTCTGGAAGCCTCTTCCACTTGCTCCACTCTTCTCTTTGTTTTCATCTTCAGTCACAAGCCCTCTGCCTTCTCTCTTACATTGTTGCTCCCTTGGAATGCTGATTTCTCCCTTGACTTTACCATTTATTACGTGAACAATTCTCTATACCTTTTCAGCAACCCTACTT